GATTTCTTGAACAGAAGCACCGAAGTCAACATTGGGTAGTTCCAAGCAGCTCTTTACAGCTGTGCACATTATGATTTAGTACGTAGCTAGATTTTTTTTTTTAAATCAATTCTGGGAGCCTAGAGAGATAGTACAGTGGGTAGAGCGTTTGCTTTGCACATGGCCGGCAGATCCAAGTTTGGTCTCCAGCGTCCCACGTGGTCCCCAGAGCACCACCAGGAATGACTTCTGAGGTCAGAGCCAGGAGGAACTTCTGAGCACTGTCAGCTGTGGTCCTTCAAAACCCCCAAAATTGAAAAAAAAAAATCAGTTCTTCAGAAAGAATACCACAGGATAGAAAGATGTATGAACTAAGACAATGAAAAACAGACCAGGAAATAGACTCTCCCATACACATTTCCTGCAGATTCCCAACTCCTACTCCCAAGGATTCCGGAGAACAGCTGTTTCCTGGGTGGGGGTGGTGCTTCTCCCTAAGGCCTGTGAGCTGCTCAGTTTGGGCTCTTGAGCCAATAGCGGGATTTCTGGTGGCAAACCAAGACCGAGACTAATAGAAAATATTTTATGCTAATATATTTGTCATGCCGTGAGCACTGGTTTTCAAAATAACTGCTTGAAGAGGGGGCAAAAAGAAACTTGATAAGGAACTTTATGAAGTAAAATATGAATTTTTTTTTTTAAGCCATGCGTCTATCCCTAAAAGAATGGAATGGAAATAAAGGGTGTGACAAGTCTGGGATGCTACAAATGCAATTAATACAGACACACAGAGACACACTGCAAATCAGATGCTGTAAAGACCTCAGATGGTAGGTAGCTCTTGGTTTTAAGCACACTGTGCCTCAATTTTAAGTTTAGGTTACATAGATCAAATAAGTCAAGTAAAGCTAATAGTCCAATTGATTGTAAGGATTCAATCTAAAATTTAAACTGAAGCCAAGCGCTCCTAAGCCCTGAGTGAGGGACAGACATACTTGTGTTTCCTTGCACACTTGGCTCCCCAAAGGCCTGAGTGTGTACTTTGGGAGAGAACCCAGTTCAATCTTTGGAGTTGCATGACCCCCCTGGGTACCCCCAGGAGTGACACTGAGCATTGCCTGGTGTGGTCACCCTACTCCTCCAATACTTCAGTTTGCCTCTACTGGAATGGATCCTTGAGAGTCTTTTTTATTTTATTTTTTATTTTTTTAATTGAATCACTGTGAGATAGAGCCATACAAAGCTATTGATTATTGATTTCAGTCATACAGTGGTTCAACACCCAGCCTCCAGCAGTGTCCCCAGTTTCCCTCCCATCACTTCTCATTCCCCACTCCCCAGCTTCTCTCTCTCTCTCTCTCTCTCTCCTCCTCCTTCTCCTCCTCCTCCTTCTCCTCCTCCTCCTCCTCCTCCTCCTCATTCTCATCCTCCTCCTCTCGGGCATTATGGTTTGCCATACAGATACTGTCAGGTTATCGTCCCCCTATTCTAGCACTCGTTCTTGTCTGTGTCTTTGAGTCTTGCTGCTCTGAGTTCCGCAGCAGTCAGGAGCCCCATGTCCCTACAGAGATCACCACAGACCTTTGTGATGTGACTCTGTGAGTTTGAGTCTGCAAACAGCCTCACTCCCCACTTCTTGAAGCAGCTGGACTTCACGAATTCTATAGTTAGCAGAGCCTCAAACCACTCACTCCAGAGAACCACGCCTTGGGCCCAGTGGTCTGGGCGTGAGGCTGAATCCAAGACCCTCCTGCCGGCCCGGCTAGAAAGCAATGTTTTTGGCCTCCTTATCCCTTGCCACAGCCCACGGACTGACCATGGAAAGTTCCTGCACTCATGTTCCTGTCACAGTCATTTCTCTAGCCCAATCACCGTCTTAGTCAAGAGAGCCTGTTGGATGAAAAGGCTTCGCCTCTGATTTCTAGGAGCTCTCCCATTCCTTGGGAAGGTAGATCTGGAGGGATTTGACATTAGCTTCCTTTAGGAATTAGGATCCTTGCAGGACACAGCCCGCTGAAGGGCTCACTTTGGAGATGTGACTGATGGGACCAAGTTCAGCTTGGACTAGAGCAAGTCTGAGCAATATAAAAGCCAGGGCTGGTGGGGTACTCTGTTTCCGCCCCCCCTTCCTCAGAGCAGCAGAGCAAGGTGGGGCTGAGACCCTAGGCGGGAAGGCAGGGGTTCAAGGAGGATGCACAGGAGACCCACCCTGCTCACTCGCTGCCGCAGCTCCCACCCACAGCCCCGTGCACCCAGGCCATGCCAACGCTCTCGGGCAAGAAGTGCCAGGCATTCAGCACAGAGGAACGTGGCATGGATGTGAGTGTGCATGGGGGGCCCTGGTCAGCTCTTGGGACGTGCTCCTGGAAGGGCACGCATGCCCAGGCCTGTCCGGATCCCCTGCAGGCCACTGCCAGCTTGAGCCGGGGGCGGCGCGTGCATCCCACACACCTTCAACATCCCGTTACCTCACCAGGTTCACCCTGGAATATTCCCCAATGAGTATTTTGACTTCAGGAAACAGGAGAGCGCTTCCCAGAAAAGGTGCCCGCTGCTTTCTAAATCCGGTCTGGTTCTGCCTGACTCATCGTGCCTATTTATAAGGAAGGATCTGGTGATTCACAGACCCTGCGCTCCCCAGAGAGCTCCTTCTCCTGGAGCTGTGCTCACTCCTGTTGCCAAGCGCCCCACTGTGGCTGGTCTGTTACTGGACACGGGACACTGCAGGACTGTTTTCTCCAGTGTGTGTGTAGATGGGGGCAGGGGGCATCCAGGCCAAGGCTTCTCCCTCTCACACCTCCATCAGTCCCAGAAAGGGGAGGTTGTATCGCTTCCTGATCTTCAGATCATGTTAAGGTTAATTGTTTTTGTTTTTTTTTTTTTTGCATTTTGAGTCATATACGCCTGGCAATGCTCAGAGTTTACTCCTGGCTCTGCATCAGGAATTAGTCCTGGTGGTGCTCGAGGAACCATGTAGAGGCTGGGGATTGAATGCAGGTCGGTGCATGTGAGCTAGATACGCTTCCTGCTGTTTCATTGCCCTGACCCCCGCCCCCCACCCCCACCACCACCACCAAGTCAAGGCTAATCGTACCGGTTATGCCTCCGAACACACATCCTGTACAGAACAGCTGACAGCTGAGTCTTGATGGTGGAGCTGCGAACGGAGAGGATGAGGTGATGGTGGAAAGGACTGAAGAAAGAGATGGTTTGGGGCAGGACGATGCTCATGGACCTTGAAGGCAACACTAGTTGATCTTTTTTTTTGGGGGGGTCACACCTGGCAATGCACAGGGGTTACTCCTGGCTCATGCACTTAGGAATTACTCCTGGCGGTGCTCGAGGAACCATATGGGATGCTGGGGATCGAACCTGGGTCGGCTGTGTGCAAAGCAAACGCCCTACCCGCTGTGCTTTCATTTCAGCCCCAACACCCATTGATCTTGACACTGTCAGGTCCCAGGGGGTAGCAGTGGGCACTGGGGCTGCACAGGCAGCCCCACTTCCTGCTCTGCAGACAGAGGGTCACCCCCCTGACCCCGCGCCTGCCCGCATGCACTGACCCACTACAGTTGGCCAAGTGCCGCTTCCCTTTAGACTCAGAGTCCAGGATCCCTGCGCAGCAGGTGGGTTTAAGCCTCTTCCTCTGGGGCTCAACTGGGTGCCAAGAGCGGAGAGCGTCCAGTCTTACCTTGGGTGTTGCCCTTATAGGGCAGGGCAGGGCCAAGCCACCGGAGGAGGGGCAGGGATGGACGCCCTGGAATCTGGGTTCCCGGGAACCATGGAGCCAGCGAGGGGTCCAGTGACATGAAGGTGACACCAGTGTGGATAGGCCAAAGCTCATACTCGCCTCCTCTTGGAGTGAGGTTCCATGCAACACACTTAGCAGCTCACTCTTTATTTCCTTGGTATTGTTTGGGGTGGGGGCTCCTGAGCACTGCCCAGGGGCATAGCTCCTGTTTCAGTAACACTTGAGATCGAAGTCGTAGGACTAGGTGAGGATGCAATGCTGCAGGGCCCCCTATGCATGAGGGCTAACCCTGAACACGCTCCCACGCTGGGAGTGAACGGACTCGGTTCGCCAAACACCCACTCCTGCTTTTTTGTTGTTGTTGTCTTTTTGTCTTTTTGGTTCACACCTGGTGATGCTCAGGGTTACTCCTGGCTCTGCACTCAGGAATTACTCCTGACAGTTCTCAGGGGATCCTATGGGATGCCAGGGATTGAACCCAGGTCGCTGCATGCGAGGCAAACGCCCTCCCCTGTTGTACTACCTCTCTGAGCCCCCACTGCTATTTCTCTCTCTACCCTGTGCGACTCCTCAGTGCTTGGTCTCCCTGCCAGGCCCTTGCTGATGCCTCAGCTGGTAGCAATGCTCCCTCAGTTTCCCCACAGGGTCTCACTTCTTTTATTTATTTGTATGTTTTTTTTTGTTTGTTTGTTTGTTTTGGATCCCATTCAGCTGTGCCCAGGCCTTACTCCTGGCTCTGTGCTCAAGGGGAGAACTTTATCAATCCCAAGCTGCGGTTAGTTGCAGGGAAGGCCCACCCACCCGGAACCAGCTCTTTCTTGTCATCTCTTAGGGTCGGGGTGGATGTGTCAAGGGACCAGAGCTGCGAATCCTCCAGACCTGAGATGCTCTTTCCTCTCCCATTCCTCCTGCAGGTGTGTCCCTCGGCAACCCCGGCTCTGGTCTTGGGCTCACCCATCCTTCCACACCACCCTTCTGTCGCTTCCCAAGCCTGGCCAGCGCCGTGGAGGAGGGCCAAAGTACGCAGATGCGTCCTTGTTGGCTTCTTGCTGGTCCAGATGTTAGAGAACTTGGATTGATAATCCTTCTTGGGCAAAAGCCAAGGACTGCCACTTAGCAGCTTCACTCTGTTTTTCCCATCCTGAGCTCGGCCCCAGGTGATGGAATTAAGAGAGTCAGCCTGGCTGGCAGTGATAATCTGCATAACTAAAGGAAGCCAGGTGCTCAGCGGCCAAACAGCTCAGCAAAGCCCCTCGACAATGACAAGCCAGGCAGGAATCGGTTTCCATGGTTTGTTCCTTTTCCCGCTTTGCAGGTGGCCAAGAGAGACAGCTCCAGCGAAGGCGCGAGAGGTACCACCTTCCCGCCAACCTGCCATGGACGAGAGGCGCGTGGCTATAAAGCCCTCCGTGTCCAGGAGAGTCCCAGCCGGTCAGGCGCTGGGAGGCCATGGCCGCGGCTCTCTTGCTCTGCCTGCTTTCTTTTCAGTTCCAGTTCCTGCATGTCTTTTCTGCAAGGAACATTTCCCGCAAGTGCCTGCAAGACACGAACGAATTCCTTTCTGACCTGAACTCAGCGGAACCCAAAGAATATGCGCTCAGAAGTAAGTGGTGGGGGCTGGAGCGATAGCACAGCGGGTAGGGCCTTTGCCTTGCACGTGGTCGACCCAGGTTTGATCCCCAGCATCCCATATGGTCCCCCGAGCACCGCCGGGAGTGGTTCCTGAGTGCAGAGCCAGGAGGAACCCCTGAGCATCACTGGGTGTGATGCAAAAACAAAAAACAAATAAAAAAAGAAGTGGTTTCTTCTGGCTCATTGGGCATGGGCGCTAGTGGGGGCATTTCTAAACTCATGCCGGAGTATTCCAGAATAATTCTTGAGGAACCAAAACAAAGAACCAAAGTGAGGAGGGAGTCCCAAGGAGACTTAGTTTGCAAGTTGGCCCCTAAGTCATGGAGGGAGGAGAAGATTTCCTGTCGCAGCCCTGAGGGGAAGCCGTGTTCATCTGAACAGAGGCATCTTGGGAGAACCGATGCTAAATACACTGAGATGCACCATCAGTCGCGTGATGCCGTTTGCTAGTGTTGAGGTGGATGACACGAAGACACTGGTGCCCAGGACACTTGACCGATTTCTTTTTCTAGGCCTTTAGTCAAGCTTTGGGCTGGAGTGATAGATAGCAGGTAAGGCATTTGCCTTGCACGCGGCCGGCCCCGGTTCGATTCCTCCATCCCTCTAGGAGAGCCCAGCAAGCTACTGAGAGTATCCCGCCCACAGAGCAGAGCCTGGCAAGCTCCCCGTGGCGTATTTGATATGCCAAAAACAGTAACAAGTCTCACGATGGAGACGTTACTGGTGCCTGCTTGAGCAAATCGATGAACAACGGGAGGACAGTGCTACAGTGCTAGTCAAGCTTTAGATAAGTGGCTTCATTATTTGGGAAACAAATCTCATGTGTGGTGGGGGTTCTTTTGTTGGCTCTTTGGGGGCCTCCGAACAGGGCTCGAGGGTACAGGACTGTTTCCTGAGATTCACTCTGCAAACCAGGCGGAACAGTGTGATGCTCAGGCCCAGCACTGCTTGGGCTCACAGGGTTACATCTGCTGGCACTAGGAGGTACATACGGTGCCAGGGATCAGACTCGGTCCTGGCACAAGCCGGGCATGAGTCCATACTCTGAGCTGTCTCCCTGCCCCCTTGATAAGTTTGCTAGCAAGTTCTAAGGGCTGCTGCTCACAGGCCTAGCCCAGGCTGGAAGGAATTTGGCTGTTGCCAGATCTCTCTGGAGGTGCTGTGGATACACTCCTGGGGCCAGTAAGCTACTTTTTTGTTGGTTTCCAAAAATCATCCTCATTATCCAGCTCCAGGGGGACACGGAGCTTTCTGCCAGGGAGAGGCAGAAAGTCAGATTTGTTTTCTTCGTAGCCACCTCTCTAAGGAGAGTGATTCCCTGCCTGTGGGTGCTGATCAAAACCCACCCACCAGAAATGAAAAAGGCCAGACCTTTTCTGGCTTTTCTGGCTTTTCCAAAACCAGAAAAAAAAAAAAAAGAACCGAGTCGTTTTCCATTTCAAACACATGACTAATTTATTTTGTCTCAGCCAACTCGTGTAGCGCCGTGTATGTCATAAAGGTAAACAAAAGTTGGATCTCACCAGGCAGCTCAAAGCAGCCTGCTGGGAAGCAGCGGTCATTCTCTGCTGCGTTATTTGTTGGAAGTCACCTGTGGTGCTCTGGGATCACTTCTGGCCGTGCTCTCGGGGATCACACGTGGGGCTGGGGATCAAAGCTGTGTCAGGAGCATGCAAGGCAAGCTCTATCTCCAGCCCTGCGAGGCGTGCCAAAGGCAATAACTGTCCTCCCGCCGTTCATAGATTTTGCTCGAGCGGGCCCCGCAACATCTCCATCCGTGAGACTTGTTATCACCGTGTTTGGCATATCGAATATGCCACAGGTAGCTTGCCAGGCTTTGCCGTGCGGGCGAGATACTCTCGGTAGCTTGCTGGGCTCTCCGAGAGGGGCGGAGGAATCGAACCGGGCTCCGCTGGGGCCGGCCACGTGCAAGGCAAACGCCCTACCGCTGTGCTATCGCTCCAGCCCAATGGCAATAACATGAGGGAGAATATACCACCAATGAACCCAGAGGACTCCTTACACACCCCCTGCACTGGATTAGGCTTTGCTACAACCCTGGGTGATAGTGACAGGAAGTCAAGTAAAGAAACCCAGGCCACAGAACCCACAGCCTGATCAACCACCAGCCACAGCCTGATCAACCATCAGCTCCATTTCCTGGGGATGAGCCGGTCATTGTCATCACGGGTCACAGCCTTGTTATTGATTTCTGTGCCCATTCGTTCACCAGTGACATTCCTGAACATGGGAGAGCTGATTTGTCCACCCCCCACACTTTAGTTTAAAAAAAAAGTGTGTGTGGAGGGGGGCTGGAGCGATAGTACAGCAGGAGGGCATTTCCCTTGCCGGGCTTGATTTCCAGAATCCCATATGATATCCCGAGTACCGCCAGGAGTAATTGCTGAGTGCAGAGCCAGGAGTAACCCCTGTGCATCATTGGGTGTGACCCAAAAAGCCAAAAAGCAAAAAAAAAAAAAAAAAAAAAAAAAAAACCCAAAAAACCCCAAAAAAGAAATAAAATAAACGGGGTGGGGGGGTCCTAGAGATAATGCAGGGGGGTTAAGGCCCTTGCTTGTCTTGCGCGGCTCACCCTGGCAACGCATATGGGCCCCCCCAACACTGCCCGGAGTGACCCCCAAGCACAGAGCCAGAAACCCTGAGCATTTGGGCCCAGAGTGACCCAAACCGAAATGAAAATAGAAATGATTCCAAGATGGATGGTCCAAGAGCGCAAGGGGTGATTTATGGAGATGGGAGAGATGTGAGTAACGAGGGGGCTGGCGCCCCGTCTGTCCGTCCCGTGGTTCCCTGGTTTCCGTCTGGACGCACCAGCTCACCCTGGATGCGGCTGCTCAGACTCTGCCCGAGACAGCTGAGCTCAGTGCTTGGTTCTGACCTTGTTTTCCCAGACAGTCCTGGGGCTGGGCAAACAGTAAGAGTCAATATTTGGAGAGCGTTTGTCTCCGGGCATGGGGCCCCCTGTCCTACAGAGACGATGGCTCAGAGTTCTAAAAGCCCCTGGCGGGCGCCGCCACAGCAACCTCTGCCATAGGTCACACGGAGGCCCAGACACAGATGCCAGGAGTCTCACCCCAGCCGCCCAGGAGAGACAGGCTTTGAGCCCGGGTGACCATTCCCACGCCTACAGCTTCCATCCCTCAACCCGGCAAACACACGGGATGAGCAGCAGAAAGGAAGGAGGCCGAGCTAGTGTCCCGACCTGGACAGGGGAGGGAACGTGTCCGAGAACCGGTGTGTGTGTATGTGTGTGTGTGTGTGTGTGCGCGCAAATGAAGGTGCTGATTTGCTGATGGAGTACCAAGGAAAGGCACCCTCAGAATGCTGGCCGGGAGAGTGGGGGGCTGGTGCGGCATTGGGGGGAGGCAGTTGGGAACCCAGCAGACCTCAGATAAGGTGTCAATAGGCCTGGCGATGCTCCAGGAACCATGGAGTGCTGGGGATCAAGCCCCGTGCAAGACAAAAGCCTTAACTTATCCTTAGATCTCTCCCCTCAAGCTGTTGGTTATTTGGGGGCCCCCAGGAGGTGCTCAGGATGTGCAGGGACCCCCCCCCCCGCCACCCTCCGCCAAGCTTGCTGGCATTTCTAATACAAGGGCCGGAGGCTGCGGTGCTTCTTGGGCCCTACAGTGCCAGGGGTACGGGGTGGAGGGGTCACCCTGGTGGTGTGGCAGCCCCCAGGCAGGGCCACACCTGCTGGTGCTTGAGGAAACAGGTGGTGTCTGGAATTGAACCCAGGTCCAAGCCCCCACCAGACATGCACCCTGAGTACTGTGCTACCTCCTGGGCCCTTAAGTTATAGTTTTCAAACTGGGGATGGAGCTCAGGTGTTTCTTACCTTCTTCTTAATGCTTTTCCGATCCATTCACTGCTGCGTGATGATGTTTTGGAGCCCTGGCTCTCATCCAGAACGCACAGGGATGATGATGATGATGATGATGATGTGTGTGTGTGTATGCATGTGTGTGTGTGTGATCCTATTTTACTATTTTATTTGGCAGCCACACCCAGTGGTGCCCAGTTCTGCATTCAAGGATCACTCCTGGTGGGACTCTGGGAACCATATGGGGTGCTGGGATCCAATCCAGGTTGGCCTCAGGCAGAACGCCTCCCCACTGTCCTGGGCACACATTGCCCTGTGCACTACACTCTACTGAATCGTCCCTGATGCCCACAGATGGTTCTAAGCAGGGCATTAGGGCACCGGCTGATGAATAAGGTGAAGAGAGGAGTGAGGGGTGCTTCCTGGGTTGAGAAGTGTAGTCCAGTCAAAGACATGGGAGTGGTTGCACTTTGAGCAGAGACAGGGGTCAAGCAAGGCTGATGCAGACTCTCACGTGGGTCCTGCAGACAAAGACCACACGACAGGGGCCAGCATGCAGCAGAACTCGGGGATGAGGCTCCTTTTCTTTCCTGCCAGCTCTTCCCATCTCCCCACCGCCCCGCCTCCGAGACCCGGTCACCATCTGGAAGGTAACAGACCCCTCTCTCCTCTTGTGGTGCTGCTTGGGCCCTGCAGTGCCAGGAGTATGGGGTGTGGGGGGGTCACCCTCGTTGTGTGAGGGCTCTCGACCTGGGTCCCCATCTGCTCTGGTGACTCAGTTTCCCATTCCTTTGCAATTGTTGTTTGGAGGACTGGGGGGGTCATACACCCACTGGTTTGGGGGGCTCTATTGGGGTGCAGCTAGAAAGGGCTTGCAAGTGCCAGGGTTCCCAGACAGCTGAGCTGCCATGCCTGTACTAGGCACCCAGAAAAATTTCACCAGAGAAAAGAGATGATCTGATGGACTGCTTTGAAATTTCTGGGTCTTCAGATTTCAGTTATCCACATTGTAAAAATTCCAATTTTATTCAAATTTTAAACTGGAGCATGCCCCTAGCTTCTCCTGCAAAGATCTACATTGATTTCTAGAAGCTGAGATTGGTCCTGTAAGGCAAAAAACAAACAAA